CCAAATCCCTAAGTCAGTTTTTGATTACATTTCAGATGTTGTCACAATTTGTTAAGGTTGTAGAGCTCATGAGTTGCTCAGCCTGTATATGCTGTGGTTATAAGCAGTTTTTCTTGTTGTGGTTTGGTGTACAATCACAGGTGATGTAGCGGACATGCGCACATAGTCTTATGTTCATTTACCTTCCTCTGATTACTTCTATGGAACACACTGACTGTAAGTGAATGAAACCCCACAAATCCTCCTCCGAAGCTCAAATCAATTACGTTACATTCGACTTTAATCTCATGTTGCTGTTTGGCACTAGTTTCCAGAACACAGTGAAAATGTATAAAAAGTAAAGCAAATCCTAATCTGTGCTGATTTTAAAAAAGCATTTTTATTTCTGTAAAATGAAACTTAAAATGTTGAAAATCTGAGAAATGGAGAACACTTTACTCTGAAACCTCTTTGATAAAGTACTTCAGCCGCGGTTCCTCTGTCGTTTTCTTTTCCATGACTTTGATTATAAGAAGGCACTGCACAGAAAGCAACTTTGTATCCAGTGTGAGGACATAATTGGTTTTCTCTTTATCGTAATGTTAAAAAAAGCAAGTCGTGGACAAATACATTTTTGCATATGTATTCCTTACACAATGTAATTTTTTTGAGAAGAGTATTTGAATGAATCATACAAATGGGATTTACCAAAGTTTGTGGCAGATTTGCATTTATTATACTTTAATTTGCATCTAAGGTGGTTTTGATAGTTGCTGCTCAGACTGTTAATTTACTTTGAATGACAGGAGATGTTATTAGAATGAGTCCATAATACGTATGGGTAGATTACAGCCCTGTGGCTCCATTCAGAACAATTAGAGGCTAGTCTCACACAATCAGTCCTGTGGAAAAACTTCACAAAGCTTCACAAAAATTTAGTAGACGTGTGTGTGCAAAAAATGAGTACATCCCACAATTCGACTACTTGTAGAACTTTAAGAGTAATAACTTGAGATGATTGTTTGAGTCCACAGGGTTTCTCTCGACTTGAGGTCTGATCTTTGACTGGGCTGTTGCAACACCTCGATTCTTTTCTTTTGCAGCCATTCTGTTAGAGGTTTGCTGCTGTGTTTGGGATCATTGTCGAGATCAATTTCCTGATTTTGCCCAAGCTTTAGCTGTCAGACCTATTATACAGTAAGTAGTAGTGCTTGTTATTGACGAAAACATAATATAAGAATTAGGGCTGCCACAAACGATTATTTTGATAGTCACCGATTATTTTTGCGATTAGTCGACTAATCAGATCATCATCCATTGGACGTAAAACGTACAGCTTATTGCACCAGCAGCATCTGCTCTTATATAACTATCATTAGCTTACAGCTTTAAGTGTTTAAGGTATGTGCTAACTAAAAATAAAGACAAGATGATAGTTTATTAAATTTTAATGAAATTTGCAGATTGTTTCGGTGAAGTTTAATAAACTCCTTGCTATCTAAAATATAACAGGACACCGGAGTAAATTCTCCAGCATCTCACACTTCTGATAATCAGCTGTCTGCTTGACGTTTATTCAGCTGTGTAAAAACTATAACTTTAATCTCAGCCAAACCGATTTACTCAGGAACAAATAAAATACTGAAAAAAGCCAAACAATAACATTTTTAAGTTATCTAAGTGACTTATATATGTTTAACCTGAGTAGCGAAAGACGGCGGTGGGTTTGAAAACGATTTGCCGGGAGTCCGGTGTTCTCACGGCTCTAGTGAGCCTGCCCCCGGCTAGCTATCGAGCTAGTGGGTAACAGACGTCTCCGAAAACGTCGGAGCGCTTTTGAAATATGTGGTGTCCTGATAAACTGAGCAGATATTTGAGGTTTACACAGCTACATTCTCGCCTGAAAATATGTTAAACGTTTATTTTGTGACCCAGAAAGAATAATAAGAGTAATATTAAAACTAACTAGCTGCCGCCATTGTTGGAAACTGAGCTGGGCCGCGCTATGAATTCTGGGACACAGCTTCTTCTTCTTCGGGGTTTAACGGCAGCTGGCATCCTTGTACATGCAGTGCTGCCATCTTCTGTTTCAGTCCGTTATTACACTCTTAAATCCTGCTACTTATTCCAAGGTTCAAGGTTCAAGGTTCTTTATTTGTCACATGCATAGTTATACAAGTATAACACACAGTGAAATGTAGCCTGACACGCTCCTCGACATGTGCAAAATATATATATATACGTGTATATTAGTATATACATTGGGTGAATGTGCAGTAGTAGCAGCAAGCAGGTGAATTCTGTACATTAATATGAATAGACATCTGACTATTTTACAGGATAGACAATATAAACATATTTAAAATTAAAGGAATTGGAATTAAAGGAATTCCTGCGGCTTTTGTGATCTTACAAAGCTTCAAACGACGCGTCGACTATTAAATCAGTCGTCGACGATTTTGATAGTCGACGTAATCGTGACTAGTCAACTAATCGTGGCAGCACTAATAAGAATAGAGAAAAATCAAGATAATTCTGATTTAAAATAAATTTAAAAGCATAGATGTTAATGATTGCTGTATGTGTGATGATGTCTGTGCAAAGTTTCGTTCAGATTGGCCCAGCTGCTAAGGAGGAGAGAGTGTACATGCCAAAGTACAAATGATTATAGTAAAATGCATAACTTTGTAATGAATAACCCCCAACACTGCTTTGGCCTTAAACTGGCTCCAAATCTGTCCAAATTACGATTGTACTTTGCATATCCAAAGCTAAGTGGTTGCTAGAACAGCTATTATAATTAAAAAATGGCAACATTTAAACAGCCTTTCACTGATTATCTGGTGGAACGATTTATGAAGGACATAAAAGGCTTAGAGTGATGCTCACAGTCATATTGTTTAAGGTTTTTTGTGGCTGTCCCTTTCTATTCCTGGCCTTTCTCTCTGTGTGACCCCAGCTCAAGTTAAAACGTGGCCTGTGTTTGTTTACCTAAAGGTAGGTGTGAGTGTGATCATATGTGTGAGAGTGGTTGACTTTGGGTTGATGTGCGTCAGCAAGTGTCATCAGGTTCACAAAAGTGAAAAGAAAACACAACAAAAGGATTGTTGGTCACCGCTCTTCTGTACTTCAGCCCACACACTGCTGTGAAATATCTTTGCTGTGTGTATTTGTATATAGTCATGCCATATTCAATATTACATTGCTTTAAGGTTTATTTCAGCAGAAATATTGTGCCTACATGTATTTATTTTCAACTTATTCTATGTAAGTGTTTCTAATAGGTGCTTTATAGTCAGGTCCTATATCAGTAGTTCCAGTGCTGAGAATCATCTTTGTGGTTTTATGAATTCACTTCAAACAAAACTATTTGCTGACTAATCAGAAATGCTGCCAGAGGTTCTTTTTGTTAAAGGATTAGAAAAAAAGCAATGTTTGTTTCACAGTTTAAATCCGATGTTTGTTTTTAAGGTGCACCATAGCTTTTAGAAAATTCTGGAAATGTTGATTGGAAAGGCGTCGTGACACTTTTTAAAGTCGTCCTTTCTCGTTTACTGACTTTTGCTGACTTCTGCTCACACTCGTGGCTCTGAGCACTGGGCTGCCGGGGTGTCCTTGCAGTGAAGTATGTAAAGTAAGTCAGTGGAGTGTAGTTTTTTGCTTCTAGGTTGATTGGAGTTGTAATAACATTGTTTTTGTTTTTCTTCAGGTAACCAGTTTCCTCACATTTTTTCCTTCTGTGTTTTGCGGATGTTTTCTCTAAAATGGTTTTTACCTACCTAACTTCTAGTTCACTCGGAGCTTGTGTTGACTTTTCTTTTTCCCTTTCTTTTTCTTGTTGCTCATAAACTTTCTTCTGCTTAGAAGGGCATATCACTGGCTGCAGTGCCTTACAGCTTTAAGAAAAAGTAAAGCAAAGTAAAAAATAATCTCTTACTTTAGACTGGCTTTAATAAAAGCTGGAAGGGATTTAGTTTTAGCTCACCATGATTTGGAAGAGAAAACTTTTGGTTTTAATATCATGAACATTGTACAACGAGAAGGCTTTGTGTTTTCTTTTCTCACAAAGCATCCAGTGCACACCTTCAGAACTTTGAAAGACAAGCTAGTTGTTTGTCTTTTAAAATAATCATTACTCAGAACTTCATGTAATTATGTAAATTAACAAAATATTTTCTTATGGCATGAATGAAGGTAAACGAAACCTCTGAAAGCATTCAGTTAAATCAAAGCAATCCTTTAAAATGATCAGTATTGCAAGTTGTATTTAGCAAGTGAATGAAATGAAGATTATTTAGTCTTTTTGGTCTCTCACAATTTCTTCTGATGTACTTGTTGTCATTTCTAACTGTCTTTTTTTTCTTTACTGTAGCTATTGTGGGTGAAGATCACCCTTCAACCTTTTTACTGTGCATAATCCCAACATGAGACGGCACTGAAAAACATCTTTTTGCTTTTGAGGAAATTACTAGACGTGTAAAAATGTGTTTATGTAACAGGTTATGTATAAAAATGTTTGCTGTTTTTGACATTCTGGTCAAGGAAACAGTTTATCTTTAATAACGTGTTTTCAGATAGGGGAAATACACTTACACCAAAACAAAGAAAGGCTGGCCTTTAAGTGTTTTATTCAACAAACGTGTTGTTAGATGTCAGCTATTGAGGAATTCTCACGTTCTCTGCTAGTTTTGAGCACTTCAGCAGAAAATGACTTCTTATAAAAGTTTTGCATTGTGTTATAGATCTTATACATGTTGTGTTGAGCTGTTCATCAGTCTCTGACATCTGCTTGCCAAAAAGTTTGCCAGACTTATAAGATGTTTTTGTGCTGTCGTTTTCTACGTCATCTTTCATTTGCTTTTATAGAATTTAATAAATAAACAAAAATGTTTTTCTTCATTATCAGAAGTCAAAAATCAGAATGTTTTTAAAAACATAGTATAAATATGTTCATAGTATGCATATAATGTAGTAAGTGTAGTGTTTTTGTTAATGTTCTTTAATTTGTTTTTGTCTTCTAGGATGTGGTCTGGGGATTGAACTCCTTGTTTACTGTAAGTTTTTGCTAGTTTATGACCTAACGCGTGAACACATGCACAGTTTCATTGGAGAATTTCGTCATCTAAATCGGGGAAATCCAACGAAAGAGCTTCCTAAAGCCCTCCCTGAATTAAATCCCTTAACTGGAGAGTAAACCTTCACAAAGACATTCACACTATTGAAGCTGCTCGCTGTATGTAGGTTATGCTAATGACATTACTCTTAATTCACATCAAATTAAACAAGGTCCTTGTTTTTTTTTTGTTTTTTTTTTATCCGCTTCTGCAGCGTAGAGAAATTATCTTTCTCCTCATGATGAACGCTTTGAGTTGATGGGGAATAAAAGCAAGAAAATTGGATTACGTATTACTTATCGAGATCCTGGGCCAGCTGGCTCTGGATGTCTCCTAGTTCCAGGTCTTATATGGAAAGATAAGGACTAATTGATTATAAATTCTTTAGGAAATGAATGAAATTGATAAGTAATCGAATTGAGGGTTATATTGAGGAAAAACATACAGTTATCTGAATGTCCTTTCAGAATTATGTTAAATGTTTAATTTTGTGAATCTAAACGTGAATTTTAAAAGTATGTCTGATTTTTTTTTTTTTTTTTTTTAATTAAATAAAAATAACTTTTAAAAAGTTATTTACTGCCATAGTAAGAAGAGATTAAGGAGCTTAAAGCATTTTGAATAATTAGTCCAGTCATTTAATGTGAGCTTGAATAACCTCATCACATTTCGAACATGTCTAAACAGCATCTAACATCTTTAAATATCGGTGGCCATGCCCTAAGTCCTACCACTTTATAAGGAAACCACTTCTCAGGCGTCTGTTTTAGCTCAATTTTCTTTCTGTTTATCACAGTTGCTGCTTTCAGGGTGTCAATACAGAAAGGAAGTAATGTGAATGTGGGTTGTATTTCCCACACCAAAGTTTACAGAATTAACACATGTAGCTGATACTGAAATAAATGCCAGTTTTGAAGATGTGTGTGGTTTGATCCATCAAACGATGATGACCCCCTCCTTTGCCTCTTCCACAGGACCTTTTGAACTTTGATGACCCGCTGAACATTGATGCAGCAGAACATCATCTGAGAGACAAGGTGAGACATGTCGTTCAGGTCATCTGGTATAAATTCGGCACACTTGTTAATTATCTGCAGCATCCAAGATGTGCTCGTAGTCCTCATAATACTAGCCTGTGGCTATCGCTTACATATGTAAACACATACTTTGTACTTTAATTTATCACATTGCCTTTTTAAAATCTTCATTATATCTCTGTATATATGAGACGGCAAAAAAAGCTTATTTACTCTTATTTACTGATATGCATGACAACACATTCCAGTTTAGTTTAACGAAAATGTATGTAAGTGTGCACGTAATGCACACAAAATGTGAACAATGTCTCCATTCATTTGAGATCAGCTACTACACATAACTTATAATTCGTAGATGTGTGTTCTAAAAATAATAGTTGCATTGTTATATGTAGATGTTGATAATCCCAGTACGCTAGATTGATCTACGTGTCTTGGAGGAGAAACATACACACGTTGCGATCATTACAGTGAGATTCTTACTGCTGCATATCCTGCTGCATATAAGCTATATTTAGAAACAACATTTCTGCTGCTGTAGGTTTCAGAGGTGCTCTGTGCAAACCATTGCTTTTGTAGCTGGATTATGTGGTAACTCGGTGTGCTTTAATCTGGTATGGTGGGCTGAAGACAAAGAGCACACGGCAACCTTTTTGAGCAGACAGTGTGACGTTATGATTCCAGAACTGTCTGTACAGAGCAGGTGCATATGGTGTTTTTGTGCAAGACTACTGAATACACTGCCTCTGAAGCACGCTCTGCCATTTGTAAGTCAAATAACACACCATCAAACTGGATGTCTGGGTTTATATATGCTTCACTACCCTGATGGTTTGTAAGCTAATTATGTATTCTGACTATAACTTTGATATATTTAGTCAAGCTTATATTGGTAAGTGCCAGGGATTTACTGGGCTTTTTGGGTAAGCTTTGAGCTAACATGAGAACAGTGGAATCCCAATAGAGAATAAATAAATAAATATATACACACAAGATCCCTGAAAAAATATGTTTATCCTGGCTGATTAATCTTTAAATTATTATTCCCGCTGCGTCGCCTTACTTCCCTTCCATCTATGTTTAACTTGGCCATCAGTTACCTGCGATTTAGTGTCAAAACTGTTAAAACTGATCATTTGAGTATTTTGGTCACATAAGTTTAATTCATAGATTTCTGGCCAACATCTGCAGGGAGTCTGCTGACTGTTGAAATAATTATAAGGCTCAGTAGGGGCAAGCTGAAAGCATTTTGAAGTACATCACTGACCTTCTGCCCTGTGTACGTACAGTTTCCCGTGTTCACTGGAGTGTATCCAACAGTGTGTGATGATGGTTGCCATGTGAGCCCCCATTAGATATGCAGGTTTGACTGTGCGTGGGGTTTTAAAAGGCTGAGGGTTTAAAAAGTGTTTGTGGCAGAAGTTGCAGCTGTTACGCTGTTGCAGGTAAATTTGCTTGCAAATAGTTCATTTATTGACTGCTGTGTTTTGTCAAGCATCCACTGGATCTTTATTAACTGACTAAATAGGTGGAAACAAACGCCTGTAAACCATGTATAGACTTAATCTGTCATGTGAGTGTGGTTTACTGGTTCATGAAAGCCTTCTTTCTTTGTCTCTTAACTTCCGGTTTGCTATAACGAATATCTAACATGATGTAGCTGATGAATTCGTTCAATATACCCCTCTAAAAACATTATATGCTCTGCTGCCTTAATGTAATGTAATGTAGTTGATGTACTGCTGTCTCAACAACCGCATCCTGTGGGGCACAGACAGAATAGCAGAAGCGCCTACGTTTGGCTGTGGCTACTTCATTCATTGCTGTTCACTTACAGCAATGAATGAATATGATAATTACACTGACAGAAAACTCTATGAGCTCACCCCCAACTGTTCCTCACTGAGCCTGTTTCTGCTGGAGGATTTTTCCTGTTAAAAGGGAGTTTTTCCTTCCCACTGTCACCAAGTGCTTGCTGATAGGGGTTGTCCATCTGTTGGGGTTTTCTCTGTGTTCTTTAGAAACTTGACCTTACAGTATAAAGCAGTTTGAGGTGACCTGTAATTCGGTGCTTTATAATTAAACAAATAAACAAAATTTATTTAAAATTAAATTTAAAATTCTACTGCCCCACTCTGTTATTTAGCACCTTTACCCGTTTCAGCTTTATAATGTGGCTTTAGTCAAATCAGTGTTTTTTTTTTCTAAACTTTGACTGATTACACACATTTATACTGAAACAGACTTTTGGTCATTGAACCACAGATATATAATCAGATCAGTTGTGAAACTAAAAGCAGTTTGAATTGATAAGACTGACCAAAAGGCAGAATTTGTTTTTGTAGTGTATCCATTTAGTGTTTTCAGTTATAGTTCTGAGTTAACAAAGTTACTAATTTGATACATTAATGATAAAAATCTCTCATTTCGAAATGTGTTTCAGTAAGTTTTAGTGGTGCTTTACCGCCTGTTGTGGCTTTTCAGAGTCACAACATCTGAAAAGTCATCCAACCGTGACCCACTCCCACTGAGTCAAAGCCTGCTGTAATCAACTTCAGCAGCGAGTGGATAGAGATGTGGGAGTGCGAGTGTCAGTACACAAATATGCTTGTGAATGTGGATGCGTGTGCTACTTTGTGTTGAGGCATTTGAAGTGGGGCTCCTCCTGTGGCTGCTCTCTGAATACATTAGCTGGTTAAAGTGGCTAAAAGGAAGCATCCTCATGAGCAATGCAGTATGAGTGTGTGTAAATCTGTGTGTGTGTGTGTGTGTGTGTGTGCGTGTGCGTTGTTGGTTATAATGGTATTGTGCTATTATTAGTTGTGAGTGGGTTTTTGTCTGTGTACATGTGTAGACAGCGGTACAACAAACAGTTCAGAGATAACTCTAAATAGGACAGGGAGATTGTGTTAACATGTCCACTTCTTTAAAAATTATATTTATATATATTGTTCAAACTTTTTTTTTTTTTTACATAAACTGCTGTATTTGTAGTAGGTGATCAAAGCGTGGTAGAGTAGCTGACACTGAAGAAAGGAGATCATCCTATGACAGATGTTCAGGAGTCGCTGCCCAGAACAAAAAAAATTGTATTTCTCTGTATGAATCTCTCTGTGATTTATGAAGGAAGTGGATTAATAATGAGCTCTGCAATGCACACAGTCTCTGACATTTGAAGTCTTCAGCAAAGACTTGATCTATAAATACTAATTAGCTCCTTCCAGCTTAAAGAAGTGTGTGAAAGATGAGACTGACTGACTGTCATCTTTCTGAGATCTGTGTTTCAAACCAAGAACAGGGTGATTTGGGCGCTTGTTGTCAGTTACCTGTTTTTCTTGATGTGTAAACATTTTCTGTGCCCTAGTTACATAATACATGCTGACTCGAAGTAGGTTTTGCATGTGAAGAAAAAAGTAAATGTTGAATGGTGGAAAGACTTGAGGAAGGACTATGGAGCTGGGTTGCATTCGATGATGCACCAACTATATTAGTTACTTTAAGAATATTTTGTACAGTACTGAATCTGTTAGCAAACTGAAAAGCATACAGGTCCACAAGTATCTGCACAATTACACATTTGTATTTTTTAGCTCTGTATGCCACCACGCTGGATTTTAAATAAAGCCATCACCTTGTGATGAAATGCAAATCTTCAGTTTTTAATCAAGGGTTTTAACAAGTTTTTAGGAATTACATTTTTAATTACAGAGTATCTACCAAAGATCCAGGAATCAAAATCATTACATAAAAGTTATAATTTAAACTTTTAATAAAGTATTTGATTTCCAAGCAAAACATGGCTTAGTACTTGTTGGAGAAGTCCTTGTTGGTGATCACAGCGATAAGACGTTTCTTTAAGTTTGCACCTACAAGAAAGAGAAGTTGGATTCTATCATTTCTTTTTACTGAAATGCTTTAATTCAATAGAAGAAATGTAAAAACATCACATTGTTTAAAAATTGTCCTACATCTTACTTGTTCAGTTTTTTTCAACAGCAGTGGTGGAAATGTTCTGGACAGTGTGAACAGTGTACATTGGCTGTTACCATTAACACGCTACCAGAGAGCACGAGCATGCTTCTATCATAAAATATCAAATGTTGTTAACATGTCAACAAGCTGAACCGTGAGCGAGCAGAAGGCTCAGAGGACTGTGTTACAGTATGTATACTTCGGTGGATATGAAATACAAACGGGAGCCTGTGTATTTGGGATACATAGTAGACTCTCTGTCCTAGTCCTAAAGCGCACAGAGCGGCACAGTGACCTTGTACCAGTCAGCCCTTGGAGGGTTCAAAGTTCATTCATACAATGCTAAATGTTCTGCACCTCCATTTATTGTTACTGACCAATTAAAGGGACTAACTCTCTCTAACTCACTCCTGGGTCTCTCGAGTGGCTTTGCTTCTTCAGTCAATAGTCAGACGTGTCAAGTACAGACACACACTCTCTCACCTTTTGCTGCATCTCGATTGGGCTTCTCTTCTCCTCATCAGCTTTCTGTCCATGAATGACCCACAGGGTCTCGTTAAAGCACAAAAGGAGACCACGTATCAAGGTTGCTTATTCTTGAGTCTCTCTTAAAAGAAGCAGTGTTCACTTCTTGTTTATAAAATACTAATATTTTTCTACTTTGTCACCCACTAAATGTCCTGAATTATCGGTACCATCCCAGTAGGCTTCAGCAGATGTTATTGCCCCTGTATCTGACATGTAATAAGGTATTCCCTAAATTTGTCAAACCGTGGCACAGAAACAGAAAAAGATAAAATAACTGTCTCAACATATAAAGAACTGAATGACTGATGGATTTAGCTTGGAGTGAGTTCCATGCATAGACACGATTTCTCACTGTCTTTCAGTCCACAGTACAGGAAGTTGGGGATATGAGTGCATGTGGGAGTGTGTGGTGTAGAACAGGATCCCAAAATAATACCCCAACAATCTCTATAACAGTGAACAGTCCACTCATTTTGTGCCATCGACGTACACAACAGACG